TGATAGGATAATTCAATAGAAAGTACAAATAATAAAATTACTAATTTAACTAAATAAATAAAAGTGAGCGAAGAATTTTGTTTGACTGACATGCACTTTATTTATGGATTAGCAAATGAAAATGGGGAAAAGAGAGAAACACGGGGAATTTGCCAGGACAGATGACCTAACAGAGTAATTCCATTTGCTAAAACATTTAGAACGCTACATGCAAGATTAAGTGAAACTGGGAGTTTTAATAAAAATACAGATGGTGGAAGATCAGAAATTGTAATAACGGCTGTACTAGAAGAACATATACTTCATGCGATAGAAGATCCTTCAAATAGTACCAGGAAGATGTCACTGCAGCTTAAAGCTTAAAAAGTTCTAAGAATAAATCTTCTGTACTCATATCACATACTAGAACAGAGCCGAATCAATACCAGCGAACTAATCCTCCTGTTCAGACCTACCTATGGTGCGAAGATTGAGAGATAATTATTTAAGATAGTCCAACCCTGCAGTTACATCAAGCATATTTGTGTAAAATGTGAGTCTAACCGTCCAATAAGTGTCATTTATTTCAATCAGCTGAGCGCTTAATTTAGAAGCTATTAGCGAGTATGTATCGGCACTTCATTAGACTAAATTCTTAAATAGTTTTAGGCTGGTATAATAAAACGACAAATGCATACTAGGACGTGTCCATCTAGCGGCCCAAATATGACATTAATGAACAATACATTTCTATAATAATGAATAATATTAATAATTTTTTAAGTTATCGACTCACCATCTGTTTCTGACGTTTTTATATTGTTGTTGATACGTGGAAGTGTTGCTGGTTTGGAAATATTCAAGGAGCATCGAGACGTAGAGCACCGGAACGTTGAGTGTCGGAATGTAGAGCGGCGGGGCATAGTAACGCTGAGCGTTGTATAAGAGAGAGCGTCGTGACGAAGAAAGGTAGGGAAGTAGAGCGTCTAATGGGATATAGAACCTCGGGACGTAGAGCGTCGAATAAAAGAAATGACGTCGGGACGTTGAGCGTCGAGATGTAACAACGTTCGGGAGATTTAGGAAAGGTACTGAATACTAAACTTGAAAATATACTAGATTAATTACTTTTTGTGACGGCAACTTGTCGTAACTCCGGTGCGAACGAATTTGGGTGGATATAAAAGGGTTGGTCGATTTATTACTTGCCTTGAAATATTTGTGTGTCGAAAACAACACTACTATTCAAAACTGACTTAAGTGCGTTAACTGTTTCAATGATTATTACTTCGTGACAAAATTTATGTTGTATGATGGTTTCTGGTTGGATGTCTATCTCTGTGCCGATTTTGACAATTCATAAGTATACAGTGACATTATCAGAAACGAAAAAAAAATTCGATTTTAACGCTTTATATCTTATTCCACAGCAATATTTTATTAAGGTATATTTGGTCCTATCGCCATATTTTGGTCCAAATAACCTGTCTGTCCCATTGATAAGGCAACGTAAGGATACGTCATATGTATTATTTTTGATATACAAAAGTGGGACCGGTAGGCGTGGCTTTTGCACTCACTAAAATGGCGGAAGAGCAGAACCGTATTTACAAGTTTTTATTGTACTATTTCTGGTTAAGTATCATTATTTGAATTATAAAAAAATTATTTTCCTTTTTATTGACATTGACTTAAAAGGTGGTGGAAGGCCGAGGTTATAAAAGAAGGGGATTTAAAAGCTTAAATATGCCCGGTTTTCAACCGAGAGGTGCTGAATAAAGTAAATGAAAGAAATAAAATATAACTGATTTAATTATCACTCAAGTGGCTATTAAGCGCTGGAGAATATATTATTTGCAAAATTGCAACTAATCAACTAATCAACTAACTTGGGGCCGATTCCACCATTGGGTTTAACGAAGTTTAAAATGACATTTTTACATAAAATGTAATTTTAATCTTTAATTAATAGTTTAAACTTTAACACAATGGTAAAATTAATTCACAGAAAAAATAAATAATACCTTTTTGGTTCACATAAGCGACAAAAGTAAACAGAGTTCGATTTATTGGATCAGTCGTCACACGTTTGCACTAGGGCACATAAATAGCTCAATCTTTAGTTTTTCGTTTTTCTATGAGCCCAATGCTTTTTCTCTTTAAATCGGAAAGTACAAGGTCGCAAATGTCAAGTAATCTAACCTTACTTTAATTAACAGCTTTCTCGAAATTAAGAACAAATGTTCATACACTAAAAGCTCGATAATCAGATACGAAACTTAATGCAAGGCTCACGGAAAATGGCTAATAATCAATCTCTGTGTAGGTAGATGCACTGTTCAGGAAATCAAAATGTGGATTAATCTTACTTGGTCTTGGTACTTCTGTAGATTAAGACTGAAAGGTGTATATCTTCATGCAAGACATTCAGTAAATCAGCGAAGCCACAACCAGTGGTGTGCAGGTGCACTTCTAACAAATGTAAAATATGAAGTGATCTTACTTGAGCCCTATAGATCCAATGACGATATTATGGTAGTTGGTTTGAGCTGGGCTTCTCACCATCTGCAGAGATTATGGCTACTTATGTAAATGCCTACCGTAGTAACACACAACATGCACCACAAGCGTGCCGGTCCAATTTAATTGATCTATGCACAATAATCATGCATGTATGATTGAAAGTCAGACAAAGAATGTGAAGATAAAGTTGAAGTCTCAATCATAGTTAAAGTAACAGATGAAGTTAAAGTTAACAGTAAAAGAATTGAAATTGTAAGCTGGTGATAAAGGGAGGCCAACATCTAGGTAATAAATGTTTATCGAGTTAGAAAAAGTATCCACTGTAAGCGCTTTTCTTGACCACTAAGGTAAAAACCAGAATATTTCCTAATACACAATTTCTTCTCTAGGCAAAATAAGAAATAAATTTGAGAGAGTACTTCCCAAGTGTTTTTACAAAAGGTCTAAGAACAAAATTGACGAAAATGGCCTAATCCAAGTTCAAATTCTAAAACTTGAACATTAAAGATAAGTATCTTACTGTACAACAAGTAAAATAAATGGTTGAATAATTCATTACCTACGTGGAGGTAGAATAGGGACTAAACTTTAGCAGAAAAAGCCACTAGAAAAGGTGACTGGGGCATATGAACGTCAAGCAAATATTGTAAATGAAAATAATGTGTGCTGTGATTAAATAAAAGTGTACAAGGAATAAAGTTTTAATATTTTCTTATTCATATCTAGGAGTGATATTTATTTTTAATACTAGACAAACGGTTATGGTTTTGTTGGTAGTCTCATTAAAAAAAAACTAAGTGAGTATTGATGTCTTGATGTTAAATATTTATTATTATAAGAACTTATATGCACTATACAAACTTGAATATCATATTCCTGAATTCATTTCAAGCATAAAATGTCCTATGAACAAACATTCAATTCTGCATGGTTACCAAGCTACAAGAGTTTAAATATCAAAAAATATATTAACATAGTATGCCATGTGTTCGAATATGTCGAAACACAGCACTGAATGTTTGGTGCCTTGGAACTTGTCGGTATGGAAATCGTCACCGATACTCCATACAAGCAGCTCGCGAATATTCATTGTATTGTATTTTCAACAGTCTCCACTTTAAGGTCCCTATGAAGATCAGTATTGTGGCAGTACCAGGGTGCATTGGCGATGTTCCTTAATGCTTTATTCTGGAAACGTTGAATAACTTTGATGTCACTTTTCTGACACATCCCCAAAGTTGGGGAATCGCTGCATTTTCACCAATTCCTTTAAACGCACTAATCTGAAACAAGTTATAGGTAATTAAAAAGGTATATTAATATTGTTTTAAATTAACTATAATAAAACAAACAATACTCATGCATACACAAAACATGAAGCTCTACTTTTCAATCGGCTGTAGAACTAATAAATAAAATTGGTGGAAGGACAGCAAATGTAGGTTATATTTAAATAGAAATAAGAATATAAAATGCCTATAAATTAAATTTGATAAACGAAATGGCGTACGATTAATGTACTTCTCAAGAAAATGCTTGAAACATATACTGCTGAATTTATTATACTTGTTGACAAACTATCCACGCGCTACGTTTTATAGGATTTTTTGGAAGTCTATAAATATTATTTCATATGAAAAAGTATTATTCCAATATAGGTAGACCCAACAGTTGATAGATGATTTTTTTTGGATTTTTAAAAGCATACTTTTATACATTTTATACAAACCTGTCATAATACTGTCCTGTATAATATTTATAATTTTGATACTAACCTATGAAACGTTATTCCAGTCGATTTTTCACAAAAACGTCTATCGCTAGAGCAGGAACGTATAACACAGCAAGGCATTATATACTTTAGAAGTTTGTAACACTCAAAATTTGCTCAAACACAAATTAAATTCAAATTTAATTACACAAATGACACTAAAAATATAACCTATAAAATTTGACAATTTGCACTCACAGTAATGGCGGACCGGTCCCACTTTTCGCTTACGCATGTCGTATCCCTAGGTTGCCAGATCAATGGTCTGTCCCAATAGTTATTAATCACCCTACCCTGTATATATTCTTTGAATTTTCAAAATCAAAACTGTTTAAATCATATACCATCTGATTTTTTATTATGAAATCCATCGTGTCTGAGTTTTTTGCAGGTTTGCCATATAGCTTTTATCCAATATTTTTTCCGAAATGATTGTATCAATTGCATCAGTGCAGAAAAAAATCATGAGGTTGCTAATGGAAAATTACAAAAATCTACAAACCAGATTAACACCTGGACGAAAAGATGTCGAATTAAATTGAATGAAGGCAAATCTCTCTTGATTTTTACCGATTCTTCCTCACACAATTCGTAGTTGCTGATGTAAAAAAACTCGTGTTGTATTACAAAAAAAAAAGAAATAAATAAATAACTACAACAAAAATTCTTATCACAAATATTTATTTATACAATAGAAAACTTCAATAACAATAAAAATCTAATAATTTTATTTATTGAGCCTACAAATAGGACTCCTCTGCACCATTTCCAAATCGACTTTGGGACCAACCAAGTCCCTGATATTGTTAAAACCATATTTGATCATGGTGGGCCTTTCTAGCGACAATCCCCATGCAATTACACAAACGTCTTCAGGTAACCCCATCGGCAGCAACATTTCCGGTCGGAAAACTCCCGAGTTGCCGATTTCTATCCATTTTCCCAAACCGGGATGGAAACAGAATATTTCCATGCTGGGTTCAGTGTAGGGATTATAAGCTGGCTTGAACTCCAACTGATGAATGCCTAAAAAATTTGTATCCATCAAAATGTTCAAAAACGAAAAACTTTCTACCTAATTTTTTGAAGAACTCCGCAAACACACCAATCAAGTCGCCAAGTGTTAGGTTATAATCCGCGATGACACCCTCCACTTGGTGAAACTCCGCCAAATGAGTGGCATCTAATGTCTCATTTCTAAACACTTTATCAATACTGAACAGCTTAATGGGTTTGAACTCCTTTTGTTGGGCCACCTTGTACAACATTCTAGCGCTGACAGCCGTGGTATGGGTTCTCAGCAGATTTTTTTGGGCTTCTTCTATCTTCCAATCATATCCATAACTACAAACATTTTGTACAGTAGTCAAAAAAAAAAAATATTGTCCAAAGTGGAGTACACCCAATTACAGGACAGCTTAAATACTAATAAGGCTGAAACAAGTATATAATATATAATAAAAATAAATATAAATAAGAATAGTAATGAATATTATCCAAACATGAAATAGAGATAACGAAACCGGCTAATTTATGACAATATTTTGACTTTATTCTTAAACTGATTTAATGAACATGAGAATGGGTCAATACCTTTATTATTTTCATTAAAATCGATGCACATTCTATTTAAGGGAGCGTTTCTCCTATTTAGTCGTAGTACATATAAATTAATTTGTTCTAGAAGCTCTGGACAATCAATTAAATTATTCATTAAAGATACATGAAATGCATGTCCTGCGATTTTCAAGAGATGGGAAGTTGAACCGATTTAATAGTATATTGTTGTCGATACGTTGCTGTGGATAGATTCTATCCAATTTCCATGCCATTTACTTCAATATTCTCTGAATAGATTCGATTTGGTCAATGTAGATATTGTATCCAGGTGACCAGACAGTTGAACAGTATTCTAGGCGCGATCTAACATAAGTATTGAATAGGATTTTTAAGCATTTAATGTTGTTAAAGTCTTTTCAGTTGCGAAAAATGAAACCCAATTTTTTCTTTTTGTTAAATGTGATGAAAAACTTAAAATTATTGCTAAAGAAAACATCTAAATCCTTTGTTTCATCTACCTTTTCAAGTAGAATGTTGTTAATGGTGTAATTAAATTGAGTCACATTACTTTTTAAAGTTAAAGTTGCGCATTTACATATATGTATATTCAAAGGTAACTTATTTAAGTGGCACCAGTTGTACAGCGTTGTCAAGTCTTGTTGCAAGATATCACAGTCTGACACTGTTCCTACAGCTTTGTAAAATTTACGATCATCCACAAAGAGGACCCTTTTGCTTTAAATTAGATTGGGCAAATCATTTATAAATAGACAGAAGAGTAGTGGAGCTAAATTATTACCTTGAGGGGTGCCACTTGTAGCTAAAAATTTATATGACTGGTACCCTCTGTATTCAACGTTGGAGAGGTATGACTGGAAAAACTGTAACATATTTGCATCAAAACCATAATATGAATCTAGTTTTTTGAGGAGCACATTGTGATTAAGTATATCCAAGACCTTCGAGAAATCAGTATAGATTACATCAAGCTGTTATTATCGATAGTTTGGCAGGCATTTTGAGTAAAGGAATATAAATTTGTAGCAGTTGATCTTTTAAACATAAATAAATAAATAAATAAATAAATAAATAAATAAATAAATAAATCCATGTTTTTGGATATGGATTAAATTTTTTACCTTAGGGTATATGACATTATATATTGATATCTCGAAAACCTTTCCTGGCATCCTAGAGCTAGTTTTTTACTTTGTATAAAAGACCAAACATTTTTTGTATCTTTTAAGACTGAATCTTTGCTTTTTGTAAATATTGGTCATATGCATTTTTTATTTTGTTTAATGGATTTGTGCATATTTTTAAATTGTACACGAAATATTTCGGAGTTTTTTAAATATATTGTTTTTTAATTTCATATCATTGATAATATCTTGAGAAAACCAAGGAGTATTTAGTTTTGAAAGGCTGGAACATATAAATCCAAAATTGAATAAACTACAGCATAAAATTGTTCCAAAGCTTCGTTTACATTACAAATTTAATTTAGGAAGGACCAATTTGTCTGAGATAAATGAACATATGAGTGAGGAAAATTTGCCTTTCTAAAGTTGTACCTAACACCGTTGAAATTATACTCAAACACTGGATTTGATTTGTGACGAAGTCACTAAAATTCCCATTAATTTATTCCATAAATTAATTTCTAAAATTAATTTCCGTCTATGAACATTTTCAAGACCCCCTGTAACTAATGTTTCCATAGAATTACCGTTTTTAAATCTTTACAAGAGCCCTCGTAGTTTAAAACTTTTCAATATCACAATAATGTAAATCGTCTCGTAAAATTGCAATAGTAGTAGATTTTATCAGTAAGCTGATCAATTAACGTTTTTTTTGCAATAACAATTTATTTCCTCTAGGTGGGGCTACCGCCCCACTCCGGCAAAAGTACGAATTCTGATAAAACTAGATGTTTGCGATGAAGGAGACCTCTTTTCCTGCTGTTACCGTGAGTTGGAGAGTAAAAAGTTGCCTTGCTGTAGTGCCGATTATACCGCAAAGCGATTTTGGTGAAAAGTTAATTAAGGTAGGCCTTTTTATTTAAAATTCCGTCTAATAATTCTCCCTGTAACATTCACTTCCGTACTATTAATTACATGAGCTATTCTACCGATATTTTTGATTTCTTAGTGCCTGTCAGGGTAACGAATTGTATTTGAAAGTTTTGGGGACTTAGAAATTTTTTTCTTCTTTCTCTCTCCCGGGTCCTCGTGATTTTTTTTTTAATCTCTCTGGCTATCCGTGGCACCGAAGTGTCAAGTGTGACGACTCTATACGGGGTGTATGTCAAGTGAAGGTTGTGACGACATATTTGCCGAAGCCAACGAGGAAGACGATATTCAACCGGGTTGGATCACTGAGTTCGCCGTAGTACCGATAGGACTGGAACCGGCGTTGGGTGAAGCACCAACCCCAAGAGTAGGTTGGGTATATACCCTTAAGAACCCCGAGTTAACTGCCCGACTAAGGGCTGAAGGCCTAGCCACCGAAGGAACCGTACTCGAGAAACGAAAAAGACTCGTTTCATCCCTCCGCAATAATACGCCGGTTCCCGACCAGCTTCCCCTACAATTACAGAGAGACTCGCAGTCAACCATGTCACCTCCCGTCATCGACGTCAACTCCGAACCCCTTAAGATTCACGAGTGGAAATTATCATTTGGAGACCGTGATGATCCGGCCAGTTTTCTGGAACGCCTCGATGAGATCTGTCTCTCCAAAGGCATCGTCAAAAACCGTTTACTGCCGTATATGCCCGAACTGTTAACCGGGGAACCCGCATTATGGTTCCGTAACAACCGAGCGAGCTGGTCTGATTGGGAAGCCTTCGAGCGAGGCTTCCGCATCTACTATTTCCCCGTGTCGTACTATGTAGACTTGTACGCCGAGATTAGCCGCCGTATGCAGCGTAGGAATGAAGCTGTCACATCCTACATTACCGACTTGCAGACCCTCATGAGGAGGCATGGGAAATTAACTGGTGAAGAACAGCTAGAGTGGCTGTACCGAAACCTACTGCCTAGATATCGTCAACAGATCCGGAAAACGGATTTCAGCGATTTGCCTTCCTTTTGGCAAGCGGTCAAGGAATGCGACTTGTTATTAAAGGAACTGCAGTCGGAACCAGGTACTACCGGAAACCGGTCCCCGTCACCCCGCTACAGGGTCTCGGACTCCACTGAGCACCCCAGTACAAGTACTGGATATCGCGGACCTTCGTACCCGACACAAATAAGACCCAACGAAGTTAGGGTTGCGGAACCACGGCGTGAAGCCTACCCGTCCCGGATTGTGAAGTTTGCTTCACAACCAACATCGTCCCCGGCTGTCTGCTGGAAATGTGGCGAGCAAGGTCACATGAGAAATGACTGTCCGAACCCGGGAAAATTATTCTGCTCCCGTTGTAGGAAACCAGGAGTCATGTCAAGGGATTGTCCTTGTAGCCATCAGGGAAACTCCTCCGAAGCTGTCCGGAAGGGAAGTCCTGGCAGCTTCCGTCAGTACTAACTTCCCGAGACACCGTCCCGATTTCTGAACCGGACTCCCGGCCACATCTCGTTGTGGAAATACTAGGAGTCCCGTTTTCCGCCCTTCTAGATACTGGAGCGTCCCTATCCTACCTGGGAAACCGCCTGGCTAGGTATCTTGCTAACCAGAAGCAGCCCAAAAAGACAGAGCTTTCATCTGCAAGGTTAGCTGATGGTAGTACCATTCAGGTTCAGGATTCATACTCGATATCATTGACGCTGGGCCACCGTACCGTCGTTGAGGACATCAAACACTTCCCTAATCTAAGCGCTGATTTAGTGCTCGGGATGGATATTCTCGCCAAGTTTGATATCCGCTTACAGCTTGGGTCAGGAAAAATCTTTATAGGTGACATGTTGGTACCTCCCACACTCCGACCAATCCCATGCTATCCGATTGGGATTATAGAGCAACCGTCAGCTCAGCCGTTGCCGTCTAAAGCTCCCAGTACCATTGTGGTAGAAGCCGTGGTACACTCAGAAGGGGTGAAAGCCCCTGATTTAAACCGTGTTGGGGGGAAACCGCCCTCCAACCCACAGGAAGAGAAGTGGAGAGTGAATAGAAACCGCTCCTCATCCTCCGCCCCACAGAACCAGACTTCATGGAGGTCGAGGGAAAACCGCTTCCCGACATCCACCCCACCGTATCAGACAATTTGGAGATCAGCTGTGCTGGACCGGATTGAGCTAATGACTCCTGAACCCAGTGAAAGCTGTAATAAAGGAGGAGAAATCCCAACAACTGTTACCAGTCACCCTTGCTCGCCAATAACAACTCCTATATCTGAGAGGACGTTAACCGCTGACCAAACCGAGCGTCTGGAACGGTTCTTGGATGCAGAACTCGCCGCTTTTCAAGCTGTACAGGGGCCGACTGACCTGACACAGCACGAAATCCGTTTAATTAAGCCCGAGCCGATTAAACAACGTTACCGTCCCCAGAACCCGAAAATGCAAGCCGTTATTAACGAGGAAGTAGACAAGATGCTCGAAGCAGGGGTAATCGAACCGTCCAAAAGTCCTTGGAGTTCCCCCGTGGTCATGGTTAGGAAAAAGGACGGGAAATACCGATTTTGTATCGATTTCCGCAAACTAAACGAGGTAACCATGAAAGATGCTTACCCCCTACCGTTTATGAACTCGATTCTGGACAAGCTCCGTACCGCCAAATACATTACCAGTCTGGACTTAAAAAATGGGTATTGGCAAGTCCCGTTGTCTCCCCGTAGTAAACCG